TACACAGTCATAAAGAAGGACAAACATATGGACTTTGCAGCAACTTGGATGGATTTAGAGTCTCAGTGATCTATCACAGAAACAAAGAACACAGTACATGTTCTCACATGTTCTTACTCATAAGTGAACCCTGAATATTTACCATAATACTGTAAGAACGGGATTGGCAGTAGTGGGATACTGCCAGGTTGGGAGTGAGGGCAGGAGGGGACACAACCTCAATAAGGGCACCTGATCTCAAACCAGGCAAAGTGGGGACCACAGGGAGGCCCAACCTTCACCTGTATGATGACCACCTATATACCTAATCCTGAATTATACCCCACATCTTTAAAATAAAATAATAATAAAAAAAGGTTTGAATATTTTAGATATCATGACCAAAAAAAAAAATGTTTTCCTCCATTCAAATGTGAATTAACTAAAAGTAGGATTTTTAGTTCAATACTGAATAATGAACTAGAGAAACATAAATGTCTGCTATATAACTTGATTTAAGCTTCAATCAGTAATATACTAATGTAACTAAGTCCCATAATCAAATCAGTCTGACAGACACTGAGAGCCTTTACTCACTGAGGTACACTATGACTATCTAAGGGAAATAAGTATGCAACATATCTGAACTGATTTGTACATGGAACTTATACTATAGGTGTTACTACTAATTTCAGCAGAACATAGTTTAGGAAACACTGAGCTAACAGATGGCCTAGCACAGCCCAAATTTATAACTATAGAAGAAAAATACGTTTCCAGCATCCATTTAAGGACAAAACCTTGCTTAAGCAATGACAGCCAATCAAGAAGCAATACAAAGATACTTTCCATTCATAAGAAGCAATCTCTATTTTTAAAAATTTTAATAAAAATTCTAAAAATAAGCCAGGCTCAGTGGCTCAGCCTGTAATCCCGTGCTTCGAGAGACTGAGGTGAGCGGACTGCCTGAGCCCGCGGGTTCCAGATCCACCTGGGCAACTTGGCGAGACCTCATCTCTACAATAAACCAAAAAATATATATATCAGCCAGGCACAGTAGCGCGTGCCTGTAATTCCGGCTACTCGGAAGGCTGAGGCAGAAGGCTCACCAGAGCCCAGTGGGTCTAGGCGGCCACTGCACGCCAGTCTGGGCAAGAGAGTGAGACTCCAACTCAAAAAAAAATCTAAAAATAAAGATACTGCCTATTCATTTTCTAATTTCACATCATCATTAGATTTGTATGCGCAGCCCAGGCACAGTGGCTCAAGCCTGTAATTCAGCACTTTGGGAGACCAAGATCAGAGGGTTACCTGAGCCCAGGGGTTCAAAACCAGCCTGGGCAATTTGGTGAGACCTCATCTCTACAATAAATCAAAAAATGAGCCAGGTGTGGTAGTGCATGCCTGTAGTTCCAGCTACTTGGGAGGCTAAAGCGGAAGGAAGTCGGGGCTGCGGCGGCCATGAACATGTCACTGCACTGCAGCCTGGGCGACAGAGTGAGATTCTAACGCCAAAAAAAAAAAAAAAAAGTGTGTGAGCAGAAACAAAATTATATTATATTTTATAATATTAGCAAAACTATATGGAAATACAATAGATCCCAGACTTAATTCAATTCCCAACTGCATTTCGCCAACTTCTACCTAGAATAACACTTTTCTCCTAATTTCAGGCAAGAGAAGATCCAGATTGGTTTTTTTTTTTGGTTTTTTTTGAGTTGGAGTCTCACTCTGTCGCTCAGACTGGAGTGCAGTGGCCGCTCCCAGCCACCGCAGCCTCACCTGCTGGGCTCCAGTGATCCTTCCGCCTCAGCCTTCCGAGTAGCTGGAACTACAGGCGCGCACTACCACGCCCGGCTAATTTTTTGATTTATTGTAGAGATGAGGTCTTGCCAAGTTGTCCAAGTGGGTCTCGAACCCGCAGGCTCAAGCAATCCGCTCACCTCGGCATCCCAAAGCACTGGGATTACAGGCTGAGCCACCGAGCCTGGCCCCTAGTGACAGATTGGATGAGGCTGGAGGTTAGCCAGTCTGTCACACTGTCACCAATTTAACTAAGTAGTATCTTGTTTTCAATGTCTCTGAATGTTCTCCACATAAGTATTCCTAGAACAGATACAAAATAGGATACTGCCATTTTACATTTGTATTGTCTGAACATTTTCTAAACTTGTGATTTCACATAAACAAATTATTTGCCCTAAAATTTTTTGCTGACAAAAACACTAACTTGCCTAAGACAGAAGTAGGAACCAAACACTGCACTGTCTATGTCCTGCCTCCATTTCTCTGGAACCCCATCAGGACTCTCTATACAATCACACTGAAACAAATGCAGTCATGCAACACAAGTTTCAAGATTTAAAAAAGGTAGACATTAATTTTAAGGATGGAGAAATTATTACACAAATAATTTAAAATCAGCACTAGCTTGCCTAAACCTAGATTTCTTCTTTTCACGATGCTAAAATTATATTAGAAAATATATTTTGAAGATTTTATGTTGCTCTTTTTCCTTTGTATTTAAACAAATTTCACTCTGTAAAATTGCTTTAGTGTTTCCAAATTAGTCAAAAACTATGCTAAGTTTTTTAAAATTATGTTCCATACCACAACTGCTTAAAGATACAATCTTAAGAGAAAGCAGGCAAAGATCAAACCACAAAAAGGTCACTTTAAAAAAAAAGGAGAGAGTATTATAAAAAAGGAAGAGTATATCTTTGTCTGTATTAATTCCCTCTATCATATCTGAATGAAATATAAAACGTCTTATAGTGTCTTCAAGCTGAGGTATTAGAAACATTAGAAAGAAGACTCTTTACTTTTCCAGGTACCAAGTTCAAAACATCAGTCATCTTGGACAACTTTTCTTTCAACTCCTCTGCTGCATCCTTTGGCCTAGATCTGCAAGTGCTAGCTCAGGTCTTTGTCTCCGCTAATTTTTAGTTCCTCTGCCAGCACCTTAGCCCCAGTTCTCATTTTAAAAAATAAAAACTCCTATTTTTCTACTTTCTTCATTCTTTGTATAAGCCAGAAAGCATCTTAATCACGACAAATGATAAATACAGTACTACTGACTAAAAGCCTCCTGTGAGCCAGATATTGCTCAAGACGTATTCCAAGTTCTCACAGTCCTCTGTGACAAATATTGCTAGCCCCATCGTACGGATGTTTCCCAGGCAGCTCAGTGAGGCTACATCCTCCCCCCTGGGTTACACAGGCAGTAAGCAGATATCAGGACGCAAATTCAATCCTGCTTCGCTCTGAATTTTGGCCACCGCTCTTCTTCTCTAACTAAAGAAGCAGTACAGAGCTGAGGCAAAAGCTGTCCAAGTGCCTTCAATCTTCCCAAGCCAACAGAAGGGCCCTGAAATCCTCTTCACCTCCCCTCTCTCAGAGATATCCCCTCATCAGCGTTAGTTGCAAAAGTATCATTTCCTTTTCCTCATTGCAGGCATTTAACATTTTATATTATTAATTAAATATGTTGTTAACTATTATCGTAAGGATTCTTGACAGCACTTACAAACTTATTTCTATTGGGAAATAAGTCATGAGTTGTAAGCCACTGACCTAAAAGCAAACTTCTTAAATACAACCCATGTGTAAGCCAAGAACATCCAATTATATCTGAAAGGAGAAAAATGCATGCTGGTCTCTCTCTATGATTTAAATAGGATGCCTCTTAGTAGTTTTCAAGTTCTGGCCACTAAAAGCAACTTAGTAGTGTGAGGGTAGGTGACCACAACATGAAAGCCAAATTCAGCCACTGTTTTTGAAAATAATGTTTTACTGGAACACAGTCACACTCATCTGTTTATACATTGATATTTACTACCTGGCTCTTCGCAGAAATAAGCTGCCAAGTCCTTTGTTAGTAGATTTAAACCAAATTATTTTTATTTTGTTAACTATTACATCTATTTGGCTATGGAAGCTAATTTATTCTGATTCCAAAGAGTACCGAGAAGATGACAAATACATAGTACACAATAAAAACAAGTAAAAGAGATCAAATCAAGTGGGAGATAGGGGTAACATTAAGTCTGGGTCATATCAGCACACATATAAGAAGATACCACCTAACTGTTAAATTTGATAAATGTTGCTTTAACAACACTAAGCAGTTAAAGTAAAAAGAAAGACTGACCAATTCCACCTGTTCACTATATCCAAAACACAAAATTCTAGCATTTGCTCATGAGAAAAATGACTTCTTCTAGTTTCTTATAAATGGGGCATTGCAGCACATAAAGAAAAACTCTCCATAGCATGGTAATAGTCAATAAAACACCAAGTTTCACACAGTTTTGCTATGGGGTATGTTTGCTAAACAAATATTTAATGTTTGCTAAATAAAATAAAACACCAATAAATCCAACCAACAACCAAAGAAATGTGGGCTCCTGTGCCCATTCCTTGCCCTGTTGGATCTTGGCATGAAATTAAGGTATAGGCAGTAATGTAACGACGTACAGAGTAATTCATCAAGTTCTGCTTACATACTGAAACCAAGGGCCTGTTCCCCAAAACAAAATGCAGATCCTATTAAACACACCTTGGGCTTCTTAACATTAATGAATGTATAAACTGCCTTATGTATGCTTATACATAGGACTTTTCATTCAGAGACAGTATACTAACATCAGTAAAGTTAACTGGACAGTCAGTAGGACATAGAAATAGACACTGTGGGTCTTCTACTCAAACTCATACTGAAAGATTTTTACTGTGCTAAAATCATCTTACTTCAAAATGAAACTGGTAGACCAAAACAGACCTGGTTGTCCATTCACACAAGTTTGGGGAGACTTGGAGCTCAAGCTTTGCCTGATGACTGCAGGAAGGGACTAGGGCACAATGTGATCCATTTTAAGCCCACTACCCAGGAAATGAGTCAATTAACTTGGGATCTTCTTCCTTATTCCCTACCTATCCGTGGAACATTTAGGGGCCAACACATATCTTTTAATGTTGCCTTTTAATACATTGCATCAAGGGGAAAAAAGTCTAAATATTACCTTCTGTAGAAGCTGCATCAATCATTACTCTTTGCATGAGTACTGGTTCCAATCCAAAGTCGAAAACTATGGTTTGGCGAAAAGTTCCAAATATTTCTGTGTTAAATGCTATCCCGACTTTATACACGTAATGATCTAATCCATTTTGGGCCATCTTTCCTCCTATCCATTCTTGGCAGTTTTCTGGGACTTCTTGTGATACCTGTGTAGTGCTATCTCCAGCAGATATTGCAATGATACTAAAATGAGGACGATGCGCATCATAAAGCAATGCTACCCGACACAGCATTCTTGCAGGCTACAAGGAAGTTAAAATAATTCGTTGAGTACAGGGGTGATAAATCCAGCTGTAACTGGGATTGTCAATTAAAATACTTCCATAAGGGACTTTTACTTTCCCGTGCTTCTAAGGTATTATGCTAAAAACACAAATTGTGTTCAATAGCCATTTAAGAAAAAAATCAGAATTGTTTTTAAAATCAGCTGATAAAATTATATATTTATGCTGCATCCCTAGCCTCCCTGCCCTTTCTGTGATATGTTCTTCTTTCACTGTAGTGAAAGCTATCATCCCATATAACCACCGACCTCCAACTTCCATAGCCTTCACCTAAAAAGTTTCATGTAGCCTCAAGTAGGAAGCCTTCATAAAAGGGCAATTATCTCTGAAAGCACTGGACTGGGTTCAAGGCTGAAGCTCAATGTTCTTAGATTTTTTACATCTCAAGATACGGATGGTACAGTGCAAGAAACGCCACCAAAAAGAACACAGAACTTTTCCACTGAGCATACTCACAGATATTTTTTTTACTTTGCTTCAACCTTAAACGTTGTTATAATTTAAGATGGGAAGCACTGCAGAAAATGTCCCACACTTAAAACCCATTATTACAGAATTTGTGATTTCATCAAATCAGATATAAAAACAAGAAACAAATTGTGGCTTAAAAATCTTAGAACTGCCAAATTTAGCAATCAATTGTTAAATAGTTAACTATAAGCCATGAATCCCATCCTATGTCCCAAGTTTCGAAGATAATATGTCGAAGACTTCTTTATGAGTAAGTAAGTGAATAAGGAAGCATCCCAAACATCTACAAAGATCTTATCTCAAAGTTTAAAAGAACTGTACTTTTAATAATCGAAATACAGAAATATACTTTTGTACAATATAGAATCTATGTATAACTTACTTATATTAAGCCATTTTCAATGCTCTTTTCACAGAGATTTTAAGGTCCAAAAAAACTTTGAGATAACTGAACAAAATTTATAGTCTTTAATTAGTACAGAATTCATACCTTACAGGTGAGAGCAAAGGTCCACGTCTGATGAGATTTTTTGGTGTTGACAGTAACCAACAGGTCAGGATTATGTTCCACCTTTACCCCTTCTATGCATTCACTTAGCTGAAAACAGAGCGCAACTCATGTTATGTTTTTACTGCTAAAAGCTCAGACAAATCTTTTTGCATGGAAAATAAATGTCAAAAGTAAAGACAATGATGGAACTGTTTATCAAGCAAGGCATTTTGATACATTCACTTTTGATAAGAACAAAATGCAGTAAAGCTAAAATAAAAGAGAAGAAAACTGGCAAGCACCACAAAATGGTAATCAAAAACTACCTGAATGAAGGTAATTAATACAGTACAGGCAAATCTTCAAACAAATGGCACAGTTTCTATTTTTGTTGCTCAAAACATTATTCTATCAGAATCAAGTTCTTGGTATAGAAGTTAAGGAAAGAAACCAAACTACAGCACATAACACAGTCAGGACTCAAACAAGTTCACTGTTTAAGACAAGTAAAAATATGTAGCTTATTTTCCTCACCACTTTCTCGGGAGACAATGAATTCATCCACTTTTCTATCAAGGTTTCCATGTAACTGCCTGAGAGCTGTTTATTCTCATTTTGCTGTTTCAATTTTATCAGGCGTGAAGCGTATCTTTTCTGCCATTCTGCTAGTTCTTCCTGGGAATGTGCTGAAGTACACTGGGCACCATACCTACAGATTCCTTGCTCTAAAAATCTAAGTAGAACAGGAAAGACTGTTTTATCATACACTTTGCGGAGCCATTTAAAAGATAAACTTCCAGCATTAGCCCTCTGACTTCTTCAATAACGAAACAAAACTTCATCTCCTGAAAGGCCCTATTTATCACACTGGGAGAAGAGGTTTAGGGAACATTAATAAAAGTTAATCAAAGACATAAACTACCCATATTCACTGACTGCCTTTGAAATAATGGAATCCTAAAGCCTAAGTATTCGTGACCCCGCATCAAAGACGCTGAAAAGTAGCTTTGTTTGTGATAGAAGGACTCTATTAGTTCCTCTTAGAGTAGAACATTCTTAAAGCAACACTGACATCAAGTGGATTAGCTGCTCGCACACAGGTATGTCCTACTTCCCAAAATGACATGACCTAAAGAAAATTTGCCACATATGGGAATCTCACTCTGAAAAAAAATTAATATACTATTAATATACTATTAAGGCACCATTTTAAGGCTTCTACTTTTCACCTTCAAATGTAGTACTTTTACTCTTTTCTACATTATTATTACCTGTATTTCATTGAAAACACACTAATTCGTTTGAAGTTTTCAATAAATTTAGAACAAAATTCTGTGTTATAGAATCACAAATTATTCAACAGTCATATCAAATTCTTCAAGGAAGCAAATATATAAATAAGTTAAAAAGATATAGATAGGGTTAATGATTTCTCAACATTTATGACTCAAAAAAATGCAACTAACAATTCAGTGATCAAAAACAGAAAAATAAAAGGTTCTGATCATTAATTTTTCAAAGAAGTTTTAAATATCTTGCAAAATTATGGGCAAAATCAATTTTTAAATGAAAATAATTAAAACTGATAAAAGATGTGAGAAAAAATGAAAATTAAATTCCAAGTATAATTACAAAACTATAAATAGCAAAATAGAAACTACAGAGATATTTTATTATCTCAGTTTTTCCACTGGAAAAAATATGGATAGTAAAAAATATAAAATGAACCACAGAACAATATGAGCTATCAATGGTTTGCCATCTTTGAAAAAGTGAGTATATTTAAAGCATGTTATGACGAAACAGCAACACACTTGTGTACTTTAATTATGCTATGTATCAAATTATCTTATACTCCAGAAGACACATTTAAAATCATGTATTTGTTTCTTTTAAGTATGTCTTGATGAGTGAAATATTTGTCTTTCTGTAATTACTGCCCCCAAAACGAAGGTTTTATATCCTTATGTGGACTACAGAGCTTCTCACACTTCATTCTCACAAGACTGTGTCCTACCTCATCTCCAATATTCACAACTTAGTTGCTTGACCATTCAATCACCAGAACTACGCATCACATTTCCTTCACTGCCAAAAGCGATCAAAGTGGTGAGCATTTGTATCTAAATCTCACTCATCACAACGTCTTATAAAAAGAAATGAAAAATTAACCTTCTAACTGTGACTTTAACAACTCCTTTCACGTTAATAAATATTGCATTTTGAAAGGTTAGTCTTTCAATATGAGTTACTCATAAATTCTACATAGGGATTACATGAAGATACTATTTTTCAGAAAAGTTATTAAAATCATGTAACATTTCTCTATCTATTTTATGTTCTGCTTTAGTTTACATAAAGTAATACCAACTTCAATCACCATAACCTAAGTAAATTTCATATTAACAAGAGGCTAACAGTAAGTTCTAGCCACCGTAATACAACTGATATTACAAAAGACTTTTGAACAAAGTCTTAACAGCCTGTTGTTTGTAATTAAAAGTAGGCTGATCAATATGGTTTTGCCTCTTATTACTTAATGACAATGACTTTTATGGTTTCTGCTTCAAATTGAAAACAAACCATTGTACTCAATCATAGTACTTTTCCTTCCTTCACATATTCTCTTCTCTAAATCTGAATTACTACTTTTCAAAAAGTGAAAGAAAATGATCTATTCTTTCAACAAAGACATAGTATTGGTTTAAAAAAGAAAAAATTCACATTACCTTTTACACAAAGTATATTCCTCGCTGCTTGTGATTCCCCTAGGTGGTGGGCGGAAATGCCAACCATTACAAGACCCTAGGGAGTAATCAGGATATAGTCTTATCATTTGAGGCTAGCTAGTAATTCTGATATTTTAATGTGCAAGAAATACTACAATCCCTCCACATACATCATCCCAGATGATGTAAAAAAGGACATGACATACTTGCTGCCACCAAAAAAAGCAATCTACCAATCAAATGAGTTAACTCAATCAACTCTAGAAAACATATATCACTGAAGAGGCACTTACTAAGTAGTTAAATCAAGGACACTGACTCTATCCTAGCATTTGGTAGACATAATTCCAGTGCAATCTCTCCCCTAATAATTCAAGGGAAGGCTGGCATGCTTGTCATTTCTCAGGCATGGGATATGTGCCTATTGGGAATTCCTTCAGGAATGAAAAAATTATTGTATCTTGGAAGGAATTCTTACATAACAAATTCTGCTACATATTGAGTGAGAAGAGGCTCCACCTTCTCATCCATGTTCCTTAGGAGTTGTCAGACCCATCACTGTGTAACGTAACCCTTTTTTATAATTGAAATAAAGTTCAAGAAGTTGAATTCTGAAATAGGAGCTAAAAAAAACATCATTTATTTACTTCTGAATAAATGATTTGTTTTGTTTAAATACAAAGTTCTAAGAAAGTCAAGGAAAATAAGGATTATGAGAGAAAAGGCGATAGTTTTCAAGGACCTTCTCCTATTTTCTATTTTCTCCCAAGTCACTATGCCCTGCTCCTACCAAAAAAAAAGATACTCAGTCAGGCTGAGTTTAAAGCTGTGCTTCATCCTTTACTAACTGTGTGAAATTACTAAACCTTAACAGATATCAGTTTCACCACCTATCAAAAAGACAGAGGACTCTAAGCAGTCCGTCCAGGTTCTGTGAAAGCCACTATCCACAGTCAGTACACAACATTTAGCCAGCACTCAATGAATGTTGATCTCTCTTCACTTTCTTCTGCCGAGAGGGGAGATCACAGACTTTAATTAGAGCAGGAACAACTCTGCTTACAGATCAAAACTTCCAAACAGTAATAATTGTACAAGCCTAAGATAGAGAAAAGAAAAGTCCTTCCTCTAAAGATTGCTAAGAACAATGTTTAAATTTAATCCTTGGCTAGGCATGCTGGCTCACACCTATAATCCCAGTACTCTGGAAGGCCAAGGCAGGAGGATTGATTGAGGCCAGGAGTCGGAGACCAGTCTGGGCAACACAGTGAGACCTCATCTCTGCAAAAATATTTTAAAAATTAGCCAGGCTTGGTGGCGCACGCCTGTAGTCCCAGCTACTAGGGAGGCTGAGGTGGGAGGATCACCTGAGCCCAGGAGGTTGAGGCTGCGGTGAGCCAGGATCCTACCACTGCACTCCAGCCTGGGTGACAGAGTGAGACTCTGGCTTGAAAAAGAGTAATTAATTCTTTAAAATGGAGGCAGAAAGATGAACTGAATGACCTCCAAGTTACTTCTAACCTCCATTACTCCATTATTCTATGAAAAAGTTCCAGGAAGAAAACTGCTTCCATCCATACCTACCTACTTCTTAAAATTAAACATTTATATTATCTCCTGCATCTCTACTTACATGCACGGTTTGTGACTCAGTAAATTTCCTCCCAATAATCAATAAATAGGCAAAGCTCGTGATCTCAGCCAACAGAAAGTAGTTTGGCACTTACCCTCATCTGCATCTTCCAAGTGATATCCAGAGAAGACATTACTAGTTGCTGTCTGCAATTTCCCAAACAAAAGACATTTGTAAAATAAGAAATAACCAGTTAATGCTGAATTAAATTTGGTCATTTTCAACATTACCAACAAAAGTAGAGTTTAGATGCTTAGAAATTTTTAACAGCATTAATATGTTACAAATGATCATTTTTGCTCTTTATTCTAGATTAACCTATAATTAAACATGGAAAAGAAGTACTGATGAGGCCTCCATTAAAGAAATGGATAAACTGGCCAGGCACAATAGCTCACACCTGTAACCACAGCACTTTGGGAGGCTGAGGCAGAAGGACTGCTCGAGGTCAGGAGCTAGAGACCAGCCTAGGCAACACGGCAAAACCTCGTCTCTACAAAAAGTTAGCCAGGCATGGTGGGGCACACCTGTAGTCCCAGCTACTTGGCAGGCTGAGGCAGAAGGATCACCTGAACCCAGGAGGTCGAGGTTGCAGTGAGCCATGCCTGTGTCACTGCACTCCAGTCTGAGCTACAAAATAAGACTCCGAATCAAAAAAAATAAGAAATGAACAGAGACCCCACTACATAAACATTAGCTGGTAGAGCAGTCCAGTCCCCAATCCTAAACCCCACCTTCCACCCATTTTTTCATTTCACTCTTCATAACACCCAGACATGACTGACCACAGAGGTACCTTGTTCTGCACTAGTGGCACACTACCACTTCAGGGCCTGGGAGCACTTCCTGTCTGTTCTTCCCTCAGTCTGAGATGTGCCCTCTCCCACAATGGAGTCCAAGGCTGGGGATCCATTCACTCTAACGTCCTCAGATAAATTCCCAGTCTGTGCTTCTGGCGCTAACTACTCTGTAGCATTTTACATGCTGGATCATTGTCAGCTAAAAACAGATCTATTGTTAACAATCTGTAACTGCCTGCCTGCATTCCTGTACCTCCCACAGTATCTAGCACATAATAATGGGTGCTCAGTAAATGATGGACGGATGGATGGATGGACAGACGGACAGACGATTCATCTAAGCATTTTAAACACAATATGCCCAAAGCAAAATTCACCACCTTTATCCAAAACCTGATCCTCTTCCAGTGTTGCTTATCTCGCGTTAATGAATTCTTCTTCCCCAGACAGAGGCAGACTAAATTCTCAAAGCCACCTTGAACTCTTCCCTCTTCTATTCTGCTCTGGTCATTCTCCAAATCTTGCCCAAACGGGTCTAGAACATCCCTCATATCTGCCTCGAACTACATCCTCTCACTGCCACTGTTCTATGCAAGGACCTCTTTACCAATCATCTCGTCTATCCCTGACCAACTCTCTGTTTGCCAATCTTGCACTGTACCAAGCTACGCCTGGTCTTAAGTAGCTGTCTCCATCCTTCAAACTCAGTTCCCACACTCCTGCGTCCATGACTACCCGGCCTATGTTGGGTCAGACCACTTACCGATCACAGGCTGCCCTTTATGCACATTAGCTGTGCACATGTCTGACTGACCGGCCAGACTGCTTTTCACTGAAATGTCTGATGCTAAGTAAATGTTCAACTGAATAAGAAAGGAGGAAACAATATCCAAGATGAAATCTGAAATGTCTTGCACTATCCAAAGAATGTCATGAATGCTAACTGGGTACGACTGAAACAATACTAACACTATAATTTATACATGGTAAGTTGGACTTTTTAGGTGGGCTTGAACTACCAGACTATAATACTGTTTCTATAAGAAAATGCCTTCTGATTCTCAGTCAAGCACTTACTAATAAGTTTTTAAAGGATAACTCAGCCTTTTTATAAAATGAGCTAAATATAAGAAAACACAGACTAATAAATGAGACTGGAATAATTGTTATAAGTATACTACGCATCACAAAAGTCATTAAAAGATCTCTTTAGATTCTTCAAGCAAGGTCTATGTGTCATAGTCCTAAACCAGCCCTAAAATATGATTGCCCTCACACAGCACATATAAAAAGAAAAGATAAAAATTCACTGCAAGTATGAAAATTTTAAAATATCTCCCTCTTTAAAGCTTTTCAAAATAAATTTACCAAATGTGCAAGAAAAACAATGATGATAAAATGTTTGGTCATAAAATAAAGCCTAAAACACTTGTAACTGTTAGAAGAAAAAAACACATGGAGCCTTTCTCCAGTCAGCACCTGAGACCTCAGCCAACAGCAGCGCGTGCTGCTGCTGATGCTAAAGCCTCAACCTAGTGGCGACCTGGGGAACAGCACATCTTACAGAAGAGCTGGAAGGGAAGGAGCTAGGCCTGCCCGAGAGTGTTGGGTCAGCCTGGTTTTGCAGGATTTTTAAATGTTCTTTTATGAGCTCATACCCCAAGACAGAAGGCAATATTAATTAGTTAATGATCATTAGTCTTTACTGACACCTTCAGGAAAAGCAGCCAAAGGTTACACTGCTAGAATTCCTATAAATTCACAATCAAGTCTACTGATCAGATATTTTAAACTTTACTAAAGAATATTTGTTTTTGTTTTCCTGAAACAGTCTTCAGTTCCAAGTCTTTATTCTCATCCACCAGCATTAATAAGTTAAATACCAGTTCATCCCGATCTTTAAATAACAAATTGCTGCTATTTTTAAATGTGTCAAGTGCAATAGTAAATAAAGATAGCACTGCTTGTTAGCTTTTTCTAGATGGATGTCTCTTAATAATATCAGATCACTAACCAAAAAGAATACTACTCTAGTTACATAGAAAAGAAACTACAAACAAAACTTAAGTCACTTCTTCCAAAAGTATAGTCACAAAATAAGATTTAAGTGATATTTGTGGCCTTACATGTAACAGGATTATAAACATTAAAATTAAAGATGTTGGCCGGGCTCGGTGGCTCAGCCTGTAATCCAGCGCTTTGGGAGGCCGAGGTGAGTGAATTGCCTGAGCCCGTGGGTTCGAGACCCGCCTGGGCAACTTGGCAAGACTTCATCTCTACAATAAATCAAAAAAATTAGCCAGGCGTGGTAGTGCACACCTGTAGTTCCAGCTACTTGGAAGGCTGAGGTGGAAGGATCACCGGAGCCCAGCAAGTCAAGGCTGCAGTAGCTGGGAGTGTGCCACTGCACTCCAGTCTGGGCAACAGAGTGAGACTCCAACTCAAAAAATAATAATAATAATTTTAAATGTTCATATATTTGCATGTGATCACCAGATGTAAAACTAGCATTTCAGTTAAGGTAACAGAAGAACAATGCCAAAAATCTATTTTTTTTTTTTTTTAGCTCGGAAATATAGTTTATTTAGAAAGTAAATTAGAGAGAGAGAGGAGTCACCTTCCCAAGGTAGGGGAGGGGGCCAAAGCCTCACCAAAAATCTTAATAAAATGAAAGGTTACTTTATGTTCTAATTTTAAAAGTCTAAAACATTCATAATTGTCTTCTGTTACTTCTTAGAAATTAAAAAGACTACATACATACTACCTATATATACATATGGCTTTGAAGTTAATGAGAGCTTGTTGATTCTTGGTTAATTCACAATAAGGTAACTTAAAGCCAAGAAAATGATACCTTTTAAAAAACAGTAGCGAAACAAACAGTTTCTATATCCAGTTTGCACAATCCATGATGACTAACTTCTTTGCTGACTGTGTGTTGGTAGGAACTTGGATATGCTGTCAGATTTGGAATGGGGCAGGAAACCACAGAAGGTCCAGCTGACACCTGGGTCTCTCCACATCCTCTGTTTGTCCCTCACTCTCCGTAAGACCTGTACCTTCTCAACTCTCAGCGCTTGGCTTCTCAGTCCCTGACCACCCAACACAGTGACTATTTTTTGTTTTGTTTTGTTTTTTGAGTAGGAGTCTCACTCTGTTACTAAGGTTGGAGTGCAGTGGCACACTCAAGGTCACTGCAGCCCTGACCTGCTGGGCTCAGACGAGCCTTCCACCTCAGCCTTCCAAAAAGCTGGAACCACAAGTGAGTGCCACCACACCCAGCTAATTTTTTTATTTACTATAGAGACAAGGTTTCGCCAAGTGGCCCAGGCTGTTCTCAAACCCCTGGATTCAGGCAACTTGCTCGCCTTTGTCTCTGCCTCCCAAAGTGCTGGGATGACAGGCGTGAGCCATCCACACCTGGCCACAGTGACTTTTTCTAGCAAAAGAGCTTATACTTTTCCCTCATACCATCTACCTCAATATGGAATGACACCTATGGCTGTTTAGTTTATTTGTTGTCTTTCTCCTTAAGACTTATAACCTCAAAGGGAACAAGAACCATAGATGTTTTGTTCAGTGCAGTATTCCCATAGCCAAGCATAATACCCAGCATGCTGCAGGTGCTCAATTCTTGAATAAACAAGACAAACAATCCATCACTTTACATGGCTTCTATTTATGATAAAGGCTGACAAAATGCTTATTTTTAAAACAGGACATCTAACTAAAACTACTTCTATATGCCTGTAGGAAAAACAGAAACTTGACCCTTACCAAACAGCAGGCCTTTTACATGCCACCGTTGTCCCTGGTCCTCCCTATGGCCACTAGGTCCTTCACTGGGGCACACTTCTGTTCACGATTGACCCTGATCACATTATTTCCATCTCCTACACCCATTCTCTAAAAATAGCCCTGAAATCACAGACTTCCTTTAGCTGCTTAGAAAAATACAGAAGGCTTGAAAAGTACCTTATCTTGAATAGGAGCATTTTTTTGGCAGTTTGAAGTAGTTAAAACCTAAAATTTCCCAATCATCTTCCCATTAGTTGTCCAGAGACAGTTAATAAGAAATAGGGACAGAACAGACCTGGGATGCAGAGGAGACATGGGAAGAAGCAAAGTCCCAAAGATGGAACTGAGCTGGGTTATGGAAGGTCCCACTAACCCAATCTTCATGGCCTTGGCTTCCTGGCTGATGCCATAGTGTTTTTTCAAATTTTAATATATAATGCTTACTAGTCAGATTGAGTTAAACTCTTCCAAACAGATCCATCAAAATAGCCTTACCTCTGTTTCTGTGAGAAGTGTTTTTAGTCTTGTCAAATCTTTTGTTACCATCCCATTCTGAAAGGGTAAATAAAAGAAAAACCAATATGTTAGTTCTTTTTTTTTTTTGAGGAGTCTCACTTTGTCGCTTAGGCTAGAGCACAGTGGCATGCTCATGGCTACCGCAGTCTCGATCTGCTGATCTCAGGCAATTCTTCCACCTCAACCTCCCAAGTAGCTGGTACCATAGGCTCATGCCACCACCCGCGGCTAATTTTTTTTATTTATGTGGAGACAAGGTCTCACCAAGTTGCTGGTCTCGAAACCCTGGGCTCAGGCAATCCTCTCGCCTCCACCTCCCTAAGTGCTGGGATCATAGGTGTGTGCCACTATGCCCAGCCCATATGTTAGTTCTTGACTATGGCAACTTATCTCAATTCCTCTGTTGCTTCTGAAGTTTACTTGTAAAAAACAATTGTTATCCTCATCCCTCATCCCCACTACCACCAGCAGTGATAGCAAAGCAACATACTGATGAAGAAAGTTAAAAAGGTTAATTTGTTTTCTAAGCTGTTTTTTCTAAAACTATACAGTGTGCCTTTCCTGGTAAGTAAAAACGCTGTATTTACCTTACACAAGCGTTTAAAACTCATTCAATAAAATGTTAACAACAGGTATCATTATAGAATAAGACAGCACAAATTAAGAGAAAAATAAACTTAAAACTTTTTTTTTTTTTTTTGAGTTGGAATCTCATTCCATCACCCAGGCTGGAGTACAGTAGCATGTTCATGGTAATCCCAGCATATCTGCTGGGCTCTGACGATCATTTGGCCTGAGCCTTCCAAGTAGCCAGTGCTACAGGTGCGTGCTACCACGCCTGGCTAATATTTTTTTCTTTTTATTGTAGAAATGAGGTCTCACCATGTTGCCCAGGCTGGTCTCGGACCCACGGGCTCAGGAAATCCTCTCACCTCAGCATCTCAAAGTGCTGGGATTATAGGCTTGAGCTACCGCATCCAGCCCCTAAAACTTTCTCTTTTTTTTTGAGTTGGAGTCTCACTCTGTTGCCCAGACTGGAGTGCAGTGGCCGCTCCCGGCCACCACAGCCTCGACCTGCTGGGCTCTGGCGATCCTTCGGCCTCAGCCTTCCAAGTAGCTGGAACTACAGGCACGCGCTACCATGCCTGGCTAATTTTTGATTTTTATTGTAGAGATGAACCTGCAGGCTCAGGCAATCCATTCACCTCAAGCCTCCCAAAGCGCAGGATTATAGGCTGAGCCACCGAGCCTGGCTCATACGAGCAGTTTAAAACCCAAAAATATTTCCAGGCTCTGTCAAACTATATCTTTAAAGAAAAATCATCTACTTATCCTATGCTCTCAAATTATTTAAAAGTGCTTCCCATTCTTATACATGTATTATCACAAGCTACAAGAATTCAATGATTAAACATCAATTTGCTCAAGAAAAATTAGTACTGTATCTCAAGGTGCTCATGAATTTTGATTTCTAACAGGAAGAACTAAGAGATAAAACACACTATTTTTTTTCCATAATACACATTAAAGAGTCACATAAAAATGTGTTTTCAGGCATTCAAAATTAGAGCTCATCAACATACCAGGGACTCTCCCGTCAGTGACTTGGCAAGAATGGTTGATACGAGTTGGAGCTTTCCTTTCAGCTGCATGCAGCAAAGCACTGCCCGAAAGGCATCATCGCCCTTGGCCAGTCCTTCTCCCAGCACTGCCATGAAAGAACAGTCATCACTAACCACATGAATTCTAGACACATTTTTCTTGACTATAATATTAACACACAATCATAAACATAGCTTCTTATATTCTAAAAGATTAATTTCAAATACTAGAGGAAAGCAGTGGTGCTTCAGTTCTGTCCAAATATGCATACATGGACAAGAAAAAAACATGTGGTAATGAGCACATGTAGCCTATGACAGCCTGCAGCCAGTTGAGATTACACCAAAATCAAAGGGAGAATCAATCTTAAATCTCTCCAAGAAACAATTTTGCTTAACCTATGATTCCTGGGTAAACGATGGCTTTTAAACTGCAGACTTATTAGCTGAATAAAGTTCTCATGTTTTGACAGTGACACAAGACCCAGTGCCATTAAAATGCATAAGAATAGAAACTGTAAATCTCAACATGAGATATTCCTAAGCACTTGAGAATTGGTCTTTATCAAAACCAGCAAGATTAAGAATCCAATCATCCAATGACCATAGAAAATGTTACCCAAATCATCTGCAAGTGTTTGCAGATTTAATCTAATACAATCACAAGGATCACACTGCTAACAATACAGAAGATACTGATTTTTATACCATGTCATTTGAGATGATTTCTCACAACTGCTAATGATTCAACTAGTAGAGCAATCTGCATCCTTCTCCTTACCACTAAGTCCAAGATTCTATTATTAGTCTGTACACACTTTAGCTTCCTTTGCAAGAAAATAACTTGCTGAGAAAATATTTTAGAAAAATTTTTTTCTAATTATTCCAAGGAAATGTTTCTTTTAAGTGTCAATATAATATACCACATATAAAGTGCATATTTATTTTTGTTGTTCTGAATATATCCTTGCATATTGTTCAGTTTTTTATTACACAAATAACATTTTAACAACACTAATAAAGCACTATTAAAAAGTTCACCATAATCTCAATATTTAGCTAAAGTTTTCACTTATCCATGTTCTCCAATTTTTATCAATATTCAAATATCTTACATAATTGCATCTGATGTAAACATGGCAGTTTATATTCTGCTTCTTTCCCCTCAGCATATTCAATATTTGCCATGTTATTAGAGTACTTATATTTATCATTATTGGTTATACAGTGTTCCATCAAACAGATACATCCCTTTATTTAACCATTCCCTTGCAAAACAATGATTCCAATTTTTAACTATTAAAAATAACACTGTAATAAAAATCTTTACGTTTATACCCTTTATTGAATCATATTATTAAATTGGAAGCTGCAGTCTCAGTATTTAACAAGGTTTTATTCCATTTTTTTCAGTGAGGGTCAACCTATTACCTTCATCCATGTTACAGATCACTCATCTATTCAACTGTCACTGGATAATCCCAATAAGTGAATAACTCCAATAAAGTATAATTAAGAATGTCTTGCGTGTCATAAGATTCCAAGGTTAGCCCACATCTCCCTCAGATCTTACTATTCCTAAAACTATTCAAATCTGACCTTGGGCAAGTCACTTTATCTCTCTGGCCCTCAGTGTGGCCATCTGTAAAACAGAAACATGTATAAATTTGCTGTTAAGGATCAAATGAGATAATACAAGTAAAATGCTTTGAAGAAAAACGACACTCCTACTAAGGTCTGGATTCATTACATTTACTAAGCCTGTTTCCTCCCCTGTGAAATGGAGGTGACAGTAGCTACCTAAGGCTGTGGTAAAAATTAATTGTGCTAATTATCTGAAGTACCTAGCAGTCTCCTGTACAAGTGAGAACTCCCTACATATTGCCTTCCCTTTCTAAAAATTTTAAAGCCATTGAGAACTGCTGAGGAAATACCCTACATCCTTTTTAGTAATTGGAATATTAAGACACTAGTTGTCCATAGCTGAAAAATGATCAGGGGAATGAATAAAATCAAAGAGTATTTCAGCCTCAGATGATTATGTCATGTTTAAAGAGTATTAAATCAGCCAGGTGCAATGACTCACACCTGCACTTTGGAAGGCCAAGGCAAGAGGACTGCTTGAGCCCAGGAGTTTGAGACTAGCCCAGACAACACAGCGAGACCCCATCTCTACAAAAAAATCAAAAAATTAGCCTGGCGTGGTGGTGTGTGCCTGTAGTCCCAGCTACTTGGGAAGCTGAGGTAGAAGGATCACCTAAGCCCAGGAAGTCGAAGCTGCAGTGAGCCATTTGCAGCACTCTAGCCTGGACAAAAGTGAGACCTTAGCTCAAGAAAGAGAAGAGTATTAAATTCACATAACATTTTACAAACACCTTTCACAGATCTTCGGTTTTGTATAAGGTGTTTGCTGAATTTTATTTGGGAAAGATTCTTCCCTTATATTGGCATACGACTGTCTCAATATTTGTCAAAATTATGTTTCCCTTTTTCCTCTTTTTTTTTTTTAAAGACAAGCAGTATTGGTGTACTTCCTGTGTTCTTTAAATGCAATTCACTTTATTTCTTGGAGGATCCCATATGAAGAACTACGGCAAAGAAATAGTCAATAATTATAGATAAAAAGCTCAACCAGGAGTGGAAACTCATATCTATAATACCAGCACTTTGGAGGCTGAGGTGGGAGGATCACTTGAGCCCAGGATTTTGAGACCAACCTAGGCAACATAGCAAGACCTCATCTCTACAAAAAAATGAAAAATTAACCAGGCATGGTGACATGTGATTGTATTCCAAGCTACTCTGGAAGCTGAGGTGGATAGCCTGAGCCCAGGAGGTCGCGGCTGCAGTGAGCCGTGATCACCATGCCACACAGCACTCCAGTTGCCTGGACACCAGAATGAGACTCTGATCAACCCCCTTCCCAAAAAATGCTCTCCTGCCATTGTACCATATAACAAAATTAAACTGCAGTGCTGCCAATCTAATCCCTTATCTTCAGTAACTTGGGAAAGCTTAGGGGAAAAAAAGTATGGCCTAGTGTATTATTAAACTTGTCTCAGGTATAACAATTGAACTTGTCAAAAGAGATAACAGTAAAAATATAAACTAACCTTGAACAACTGTAAAAAGTTACAATTCCTTGCAGATAAATTATCTTCCCACCAACTCCCTATGAGACTACATTGGGAGTGAACTGAACTGCTCCTAGGACGGACAAGGATGAAGTCTGTACACCTCACTGTGTGCTGCATTCAGGTCTCCACCCCCCTTCATTCCTAAGTCTCTGTGACATTTTTTGACACCAGAAATATGTTTTACTTAGAATGTTTTGGACTAGAGGAGTATTCCTTCAACTGTTTCAGCAAAAATGGCCTTTGTTAGAGCTTGATAGCCACTGGTTATCACAAGAAATGATTAACAATTAAAATGTAATTCCTTTGGCTTGTGGAGAATTGCCTACAAGAAAAGTATCCTTAAAACAAGCTTTAAAGTATAGTAAATGATAAGTATTATTCTAATTTTTTTTTTGGAATATGAGCATATTAGGCTATTTTTTTTATCAAACCCTTGGTTATTTCTGAAGTGTTTTATAAAAAGCCTAGCCTAATCAAGGTATTTTTCCAAAAATTTTCAAAAGAATTTTTTTCATTACCATATAAGCTAAATCCTTTAGTCCATAATGAAGTAAAATCATTCGCTGCTTAGATAGAAGCACACTCTCAGAACTAACACTTCAGGAACTTAATCAAAAATAAAAATAAATTCCCTTCGTAAATATCAGCCACTTAATTTTGGGCTATAAAATCACTTGCCCCCCCATCCCCCCATACACATACACACACACACACACACACACACACACACACACACACACACACACACACATACTTTGGAGGAGGGAAGAAGTCTACACACAGACTACAAACAGCGAAAAGCTAAACCAAGTGATGATTAACCACTGGCTAAAATGACCATTTGTTAAAAGTATCAAAAGTATAACACAACCCAAAATAAGAACTCATGTCCCTTGTGCCAGTTTTTCTTCCACTATTCTTTTCTTCCACCTCAACTCTTCCTTTCCTCCCCTTTCTTCCAACTATAATAAATAAATGCTTTTGGATATGTGGGCTGCAGGTTTTGTGGCATTTTATGTCCTTCCTACGAAAGCCTTTTACAGATAAAAAATGGTTCTTTTATAAAGTGCATATGGAAAATAATAAGCCCGAATGATACTCAAAATTAGGTATCACCTAGACCTCTTAAGACTATTTCATCTTCAGCTTTAAATACAACACTTTTTTAAAAATCCTGCTACCTTCCTCCTTTCAATATTTGGACTTTAGTTACAAAAGTCTTCATGATTTCTCTTACTGCCCCCTTGAATGCAGTTTAAAGTCAAAAATCAGAAAAGCATTAAAGTTAAAAATCATATTGTTTACTTTTAGAGGTACCTTTTCCTTCATCTGCAGTTTACTGCAAAAAACTCATGGATTTCTTTCAGCATGTTTGCATACTACAGAAATACAGTACAGGTCATTTCTCCTGGTTTTATTTTCAGAGTCTTGATGTGAATGCTAATTATTTTAATGTCCCTCAACTTCCTCATTATGATACAAACATAAAATAATTGCATACAGTAAGAAGCTGACAATTAAGCATAAAAACAAACCTGACACCTGGCTCCCCAGGACATCAAAAAAGGTTTTATTTCATCTACATGCATGAATAAACTTTTTACTAAGGCACCATTAAAATATTTGCAAAAGTAGCCTGTGTATGCATAAAAGATAAAAAAGAAAATTTGCTACTTGCAGTGCTTTCGAATACTTCCTCTTTATAAAGAATCCTAATCTCAGAGATGCATGTACTGTACGCTACCTCTGTTAACTGTCCAATAACTGGTTAAGAAGCTTTTTCTATAGACAAAGATCTGTTTAACTGTATTTTTTTTATCTTAAAACTCCTCCACTACCACCTTTTCCATCTTAAAAGTCAACACCTGGCCATCTCTATAGTAAACACTCAAAGAAAATTCTGCTTGAGGAAAAATCAAGACATTTTCAAATTCTTTGCTAAGGTACTCCCTTATTTCACTGTTCCCATAGTTAATTTGCTTGTGTTTTCTCTTGCTGTAGCTAATTTGCTTACTAAGAAGTCTCATTTTACTCGTCTTCTGACTCGTTTTCTTTGCTCTATGGGAGACAGCGCTATTTTCAGGTGTTCACAATAATATTTAATTTCGGTTCCTTCTCTGGTGCAATATTTACTGAGATTTTATAAGGCAAGGTACCATTCATTTTAAACCTTCTCTTTTTACTCTAATTTCAGTTAATACAAAATTAACACTACAAATACTCCATGAGTCAAAACAACATGAAACGCACAAAAAATATCATCATGACTATAACTGACACTCCGCATAAATTAGAAAACGCCTGGAGCAGAGAGTCATATAACCATGACGAGACTCTTGCAATTGAGTTCACATAAGTTTAAAGACTGTTACATAAACACCTGCTCATATGCAAAAACGGTTTGCATATTGAGAAGATAACAGTCCTCCAACTTAACTCAAACATCCAATAAACTTTTACTTCTCTGATGAATGTTGTCCCCAAAATTAGGATTCTATAATTTAATTTTTATTCCTATCAACTAAAGTATAAGACCTTTCCTTAAAAATGCAACAGGCATTAAGAGGAAATTAAGAGTAAAGTCAAAATCCCATTCCATAAAGCCCTAAACTCTGCTGGAGAACAAAACTACGATGCAGTCAGACTACTCGGCAATAAAAAGGACCGAACAGCCGACCCACAAAGAGCCTGGATGAATCTCAAGGCCAGCGCAGTGAGCGGGAAAAGCCCCCTCCAAAGGTCACGTGCTGCATGTTTACATGACATTCTCAACATGGCAGAGAAGACAAAAGACGAGCGGCTACACAGGCTGGAGAGAGTGTGAGGAAGGGTGGAGGGTGTGACCCAAAGGGAGGAGGAGGGAGATCAGATGATGGAGCAGTTCTGTATCTTGATTATGTTGGTGGTTACATCAATCTGCACGTGGTAACACAACACAGAATCGAAACACTCATGGTACTCATGTTGGTTTCCTGGTTTTGATGGGGTACTACGGATGTGCTCACTAGGAGAAAAGTGAGTGAAGGGTACGTGGCACTTCACCATACTATCTTTGCAACTTCCTGTGAATCTGTAGTTATTGCAGAATAAAAAGTTAAAAATAAAGAAATGAAGCTTGTACACATGAAATTCTAAAGTCAACAGTTAATGTAAACAGACTTAAAGAACAATGAATTAATACATGTTACTGGACTGCATTCCTATCTTTAAAAGCCTGGGAACAGGAAAAACACTGGATGGACTAGGAGCAAGGAAACCCAAAGTTGTGTCTCCACTCCACTAATCACCATCTGACTAAGTGATGCTGAGCCTCAGCTTACTCATTTCTCTAAAAAAATAGCCCTCTGGTCTTTTTCCAAGTTAGTTATCCTAAACGGTATAACGTCTGCAAAACACAAGCAGTAGTTGAGGATAAAGAGAAGCCCATGGCTTTCCGATCAGAAAGACCTCTCTTAAAAACCACAGATCCACTGTGGACAGGCTCTGTGCTCTTCAGCAAGTTACTTAAGCTCACAAAGCCTGTGTCCTCATCTGTAATACTGGAATGATAATACAAGGTGATTAAATAAAAGAACATATTTCAGCCGTCCTAATCCTGAGATAATTCTGAATATTTTTGCCACATTAAATATTCCCCTCTTAAGTTTTAATTACTATAAAAACTAGCCAAAACTCTTCTGAAAAGAAGGGTGGCTACAGATGCTAACTTTTCCCCCAGAGAGAGTGTAAAAGGTTCAGTCAATCCCTTGTCAATGTGCCTTTTGTAGTACAGTCAGCCTCTATTTAACAGGGGTTGCTGGTTATGGAATCCTTTACTTCATAGGCTAAGTATCACTACAATAAATATCAAAAGATGACCCATACTCCTTTGTTAGTAGTAATGATTATTTCTTTTTTTCTTTTTTTCGATTAGGGGGGGTCTCATGCTTTCGTCCAGCCTGGAGTACAGTGGTGTGATCATAGCTCACTGAAGTCTATATTACTAACACTTCAAAGGCAGAAAAATGATCATTATACTATCATGCAAGTTTTCCTGTTATGCTAAATACAATTTATGCTCAGATAATGAAACTCTGACTTAATGACCTCACTTATCCAGTGGCCACTGGCTGGGTAACCTTCGCTATCCAGAACACTGCATTTGGAACTAAAATCCAGACTTACAGACCAAATATTTTATTTTCAAGATGCCCTTGAGTCCTCACTTAGAGTCTATTTACTCTTACTGAAGTACAATTACAACTTCAAAATTTTATAACCCTTGGTTAAATGAATCAGCCATAAAAAACATTTTGGAGACAACCAGGTAAATCTGATTACAGACTGGGTTTTAGGTAATATTAGGGAATTACAATGTCGATTTTACTACTGTAGCAGCAATACTGTGGTTATACACTGATGGTCTTATTTTTTTAGAGATGCATATTGAAGTATTTAGGGGTAAATGTCATGATAGCTGTAATTATTTTTAAATTTTCAGAAAAAATGAATATGGCAAAACATTAATTGTTCAATTATAGTTTTGAGAATATGAATGTTTCCTCTACTTCCCTGTATGTTCTAAATTTTTCATGATAAAAAAGTTAATGTATTTAATTCTATGACAAAGATTGCCAGTGTGATTTTCTAGCCCACAGTAGGTCAGAAGCAACAAATGGACAGGGAGGGTAACTGCAATGAGGCTTACTGAGAGTTGCAATAAATGCAAACAGTTTGACATAGAACAGGCATAAAGACTACTACACTGTATGGAAAACACAAACATAAGAAGTCAACAGTCTGGGGTGCTAAAGATAAGGAGGTATCCACAGCTATTCCTAAAAGCATCTTGGCATTACTAAGCAATATAATAATTAGCACAGGCCGGGCATGGTGGCTGAAGCCTGAGGTTCCAGCACTTTGAGAGGCCAAGAGGACTGCCTGAGTTCAGGGGTTCGAGACCAGCCTGGGCAACTTGGTGAGAAACTCATCTCTACAATAAATCAAAAAAATATAAGCCAGGCATGGTAGTGCGTACCTGCAGGTCCAGCTACTCAGAAGGCTGAGGTGGAAGGCTCACCTGAGCCCAGCAGGTCAAGGATGCGGTGCCATGAGCGTGCCACTGCACTCCAGCCTGGGCAACAGAGTGAGACTCCAACTCAAGAAAAATAAAAATAAAATAATTAACAGAGACTGAGTTTCTCATGTTGCTTTTTATTAATGACTGCCTAAGTAACATTACTAAAAGGTGAAAGGAAAAGAAATGACAGATAATAGTAAAACTCTACAACTACCAATATATATGTATAATCTTGGCTAGTATTCCCAAATGTCTATTTCAAATGAGCAATGCTGCATACACTACATTTATCTTTAAAAAAGGACCATTTTCTAAGTTTTACTTACCACATAAAGGGGATCAAGGAATGTATAGAATGTAACTAATGAGCTCCTTCCTTATCACAAGCTGACCTATCTTTTACTTTTACACACACCACCACAATAAACACCACTCTACAAACCATTTTTCCCTCCTTTGAATCATCTACCCGGGACAGTATCCCAGAAATGAGATCAGTGGGTCAAAGGGTACAAACACATTCCTATGCTACATTCTACTCCATACTCTACCAACACTGTAAGAAAATACTCACTCCATTACAATTTTACCTTAGACCTTGGTTAAATTTCTATTTTGGTAATTCAAAAAATCAATGACTGCACCCAACTTTAAACTGCTGAGTAAACCAGTGATTAGGAAAATGGCAACACGATGCTCCTTCACCAACAGCATTTACCTCTCTGTGACCTTTCACAAGTCACGTGACCTTCTAGGACTTCTGTTTGTACATCTCCAAAATAAGATGGCATCAACTATACTAGTACTCAGGGAAATGAGAATTACAGAATGAGGGATCACTTCTCATGAGACTGGCAACATTTCAAACGGACAAGTTGCCGGGGTGGGGTGACGACAGGGACTGGGAATCCTCATACATGGCCTTGGGTGTGGGTGTGGGCATCGGAAACAGTCTGTGTGCATGAGAACGCACACCGAACTCTTCTACCACTCACTCCCAGATTTGTTCTAACGAAAGAGCAGCAATCACCAAGAAAAGGATTCCTGTGAGTACTCAGAGAGCAAGAATCGCATCAATCTCAACTTTCTGTCCTAAAGAAAACAGGAAAAAGCACTCTTAAAGAGCAGCCTAGCCAGTCTCCTCTCTAAGGAAAATCTTCTGATCAAGGAGCAAAGACACAGGAGGGATTAGGCCCATGCTCTTCAATATATCCAAGTTTAGCAGTTTTTTAGATTATTATAAAGATGCGGGGTACAGTTCAGGGTTAGGTATACAAACGTCGATTACGCAGGTACCCTTGTTGATGAGGTGTGCCCCTCCCTCCTTCAGCAGTTTCCCTCAACTGCCAACCCCAACCCCCTCCCCAAGTTTAACATTTCAATGAATGTGTGTTACATTTCTTAAACTCTGGCTCTTATTGACTGGAACTACTCACACAAACTTTAAAAGGACACATTACCAATGTTCCCAAGGGAGAGACAAGACATTAAACACTCATGAATAGGAACAATGTTCACATTTACACCTATCATAGCAAGAAAGTCATCATCCAAATCAGACTAGCCATCACAGTAAGGTGGGTGTTTTTTTTAAACACTTTTGAAATTAGAAAGAAAGAAATAAAAAATCAAACCTGAAACATTGCTTAATTAAATAATTCAAAATCTTCAAGTCAGAAAAAAGTTCTGTTTTTTAAACATACCATGCCTACAATCTTCATCAGCTTGCCCATAGTTTTTCTGCAAAATAAAAGAAACAAGATAAAATTAAGTTGTTCAAGGGCTGTTTAACAGATGTTATCAGAGAGAAGCTCAGCCTTGTTTCAAAGTTTAATCATTAGTGTTGTGAATTTAATCATCACAGAGCCAAGCTAACTCATGTGCTCTCCAAGGATTACACGGTCCTCTACAAATAACATCACAGGTCACTTCCTTAGCATGGAGCCCACTCCTCCCTCTCAGGTTCACAAGCCTCAGCTCACCAGCACCTCCTCCTCAGCCAATGGCATCACTGAGAAAACTCAAGACTGTCACCACCATGGCTACCCGCTTCCTAGCACACACTTTCTGTCTTCCTTACACCTGTTACCAGATGAACTATCTGTGCTCCTTTCTAAAGTCAACTCCACACTGTATAGATCCACTCAACTGCCTACAGCACACCTCTAGTTTCTCCTACATTATTATTTTTTTCTTTTGACTGGTTAATTCCTATAAACAAATGCACTATTATTTCTTCCATCTAAAAATACTCTCTTGACTTCACCTCTCCTACCCTCCTGTGTTTTTTCTTTCTTTCTTTTTTTGGCACTCTTTAAGGCAAAACTCCTCAAGAGTTGCATATATTAATGTATGTCCATTCCTCTGATTCCATTCCAAGGAAGATGCTCTCATCAAGGTCACCAGTGACCTCCATCGTAGCCAGCTGGATGCACAGTCTGTATTCATATGTGCCCACTTTGGCACATTCTCTCATCTCCACTGGTGGCCACTGACACTGTTCAACATTCCCTCACTTTGACATACTTTCTTCTGTCTTGCTACCAAGACATCCTACTCTCCTACTTCCCTTTACCTCTCAGGTGACACTTCAGGCTGTTTTGCTGGTTCCTGCTGCCCTTTCCAACCTCCTAACACGGGAATACCACAAAACTAAGCCCTTGGCCTTCTCTGTTGACACGCATCCCTTGGTGACTTTATCCAGGCTCAAGACAACATTACATGGCACCTCTATCCCATAGTCTCTTAAATTCATCTCTCTCTCCCAAATGCTACACTTGCATATCTAATTGCTAACTCAGTATCTCCAACCAGATATCTGAACGACATCGCAAACTCAGTATGTCCAAAACTGAACTCCCACCTTTCTCCCATAAAACGTGCTGCCGAGCCACCATCTTCTGATCTCCGGCAGAAGAAACTCCATTCTTCCAATTGCTCAGATAAAAAAAGTCAAGGTAAATAACTGCAACTGCTCTCTCTCTCTCTCTCATTCCCTGCATTCAATACATTAGGAAACTTTATTGCTTCTACCTTCAACTTATAAGCAGGAACTTAGATACTTCTCTACTGCTCCCATTCTGATCTGAGCCACCCTAGCCTGGATTATTCCAGTAGTCTCCAAAATAGTCTCCTTACATCTACTCTTATCCCTTTACAGGTTATTCTTAACACCACAGTTAAATACTTCCTATTAAAGTAGCTCATGCCACTCCTCTGCTCAAAGTCCTGATCCAACCTCACAGAGAACAAAAGCCGACGTCCTTAACAATGACCCAGGGGGCCCTTCAGGCTCTCTCCTTTGACCTCTTCCCACTGTGCATTCGACTCCAGTCACACTGGCCTCTGGCTGCAACTCAGAAGCGGCAGGCATGTTTCTGCCTGAGGGTTCACGCGCTGACTACTCCGCCTACCTGCAAGGGTCTTCCAGATTTCCACCTGGCTCAGCCCCTTGCCTCCTAGTTATCACCTTCTCATCGAGGTCTACTCGGACCTTCAATTACAATTTCAAAATTTTATATTGTAGGAGGGTGGGACACACAACATCAGTCAGGGTACCTGATCTCAAACCAGGGAAATGGGACCAAAGGGAGACCCAATGACCACTTGTATACCTAATCCTGAATTGTAACCCACATCCCTAAAATAAAATAAATTTAAAATTGCAATCTCGCGTCTCTAACCTGATCTCCTCTAACCTGGCTTCCTTTTTTCATGCAGTTACTACCTTTAGCAATCGATGGTGTTTATAATGTCTTTTGTTTATTGTCTGTGCCTCTACTAGAAGCAAAATCAAAAAGGGATCTGTCTTTTTCATGTATACATAGCAAGTACCCAGAACAGCGTCTAGCACATAATGTGTACTCAATAAATACATTTGCTCAGCGAGTAAATAACCCAAAATGCTATACACTAGTACAATTTCCAAGGTTCAGAAACAGAGGTGCTCTGCCATCAAAGATACTCAGCAATCACCAGCCACGTCACTCGTAACTCTTCAGCCCAGAATTAGCTGATTTGTACAGTCCTCACGCAATGAAAAAGGCCACTCTACATAGCTCAGCACTGGCTTCTTGACAGTGTTTACTCACCAGCTGCAAAAACGAGACGATTCTGTAAAGAAGACTCTCGATTTTGATGCGCTCTGCCTCCAAGGGACGAGGCCCTGTGAAGCCTGCCATGGAGCTCTGGCTGAGAGAAAGAAGGGCCTCTGTGCAGTGCTTGAGGGTCATTTCATAGTCCTGCCTCTTAAGTGATTCACATGCTTGTTCACATGACTTTTCAGCTCTTCTGTCTTCCATGACTCAGGGACAAAAATCCTAGAGACAGGGAGGAAGAGCAAAAGAAAGTTTTAAAAACTTATTAATTATAAATTATAGTTCCTTTCCTATCTCAGCTGGGTTAATTATCTATTTGAATAGTTACACTCAGCTAGCCTTTTTATCAGGGTCACAGCTAAGCAGCAGCTATTGATGCTACAAAATCTATACTTCTCTTTGATATTTGTTTGTTTGGTTGGTTTTTGTTTGAGTTGGAGTCTCACTCTTTCGCCCAGACTGGAGTGCAGTGGCCGCTCCCGGCCACCGCAGCCTCGACCTGCTGGGCTCCGGCGATCCTTCCGCGTAGCCGGAATTACAGGCATGCGCTACCACGCCCGGCTGATTTTTTGATTTATTGTAGAGATGAGGTCTTGCTGCCCAGACGGGTCTCGAACCCGCGGGCTCAGGCCATCCACTCACCTCAGCCTCCCAAAGTCGCGGGATTACAGGCTGAGCCACCGAGCCCGGTATTCTCTTTGGTATTTTATGAAGACTTTACTAAGATTCAACAAAATGTCAGCAATAAGCCAGGATCATACCAACAATATATCAAATTTATAAATGAGGCAAATGTATAATGAAAAATGCCTATGAATATTGCAAAGTATACATACAACAAATCATAAAGGATTCACTTTTTTAAATCAGAGGTGCAGAAATGTTGCATATCTGAACCTCCAAATTTCAGTTTCCCATTTACAGTCTCAACTCTATGACTGTGACAGAAAATCAAAATCTATATGTGTAAGATTTTTCTCTCACCAATTAAAAAACTGGCTGAAACTGTTTGAACTGTCCATTAATTCAATTCAGCAAACATTTCCTGAGGGCTAGGCTCTGTGCTAGCAGCAATGAATGCAAGGATGGGGCGTGTCATCACTGCTTTCAAGAAACTCAGATTCTAGCGAAAGAGGCAAAGCACAAATAAACAATTACAAATAAGACATATTCCAACTGCCTAAAGGCATGAGCTGATCTTAAAAGGCAAACAGGAGTTCACCACGCAGATGCTAAGAAGAGCAAATGCAAGCATTTCAAACAGAAGAGTTCAAATGAAGTCACCAAGGGGAGAAAACACACAGTGAGATATGCCACAGGAGGAAGAGGAGATACGAATGACCTCAAACACCACAGTCAGAGGAGAGGGCTTTATTCCATAGGCAACAGAGCACAACAGATTCTTTTTTTTTTTTTTTTAAGTCGGAGTCTTACTCCATCACCCCAGCTGGAGTGTAGTGGCACGCTCACAGCCACTACGCCTTGACTTGCTGGGCTCAGGTGATCCTTCCGCCTCAGCCTTCTAAGTAGCTGGAACTACACCACCACGTCGTTAATTTTTTTGATTTATTGTAGAGATGAGGTCTCACCAAGTTGCCCAGGCGAGTCTCAAACCTGTGGGCTCAGGCAATCCTCTCACCTCGGCCTGCCAAAGTGCTGGAAATACAGGCGTGAGCCACCGCACCCGGCCTGGATCATTTTTAAATGAAGAAAGAACCTATCAAATACAAATGCCTATGAAGAACTGGTTAGAAGGAAGAAGCAAACAGGCATGGCTGGTAATAAGAGAGCACTAAAACGGTCCAAGTAAGAGATCATACACCTAACTATACGCCACTCATACAGCAGGAACAGAAAACCTAGACAGAGAAGAGCTAAACTCCTCCAACCTAGCATCACATTCCGCTTCAGAGAGCCACTCCGGCTGATCCCTTGCTACTGTCTCTGCCAAGCCTCAGGCTGCTCTTCTGGCTGCGCCCACCGGACGCACTCCCTGCTCTTCCCCACCTTCTCCCTGACCCGCTTCTGCCTCCTCAGCCCACAAGTGTGTCTTTGCCCGCCTCCCCAGTTCTGACAACACTCTAGCTCTGCCTCTCCTGGCTGATCTGCAGTCATCTCTGCCTGTAGCCTGCAGGGCAGGAAGAGGGGAGAAAGTCACTGATGAGCAGCAGTGAAGCAAGACGACAGATGCCAGAAGTCTGAGTCCCCTCAGCATTTGAAATGCTTGGTCTATCAAATAAGGTAGAACCAAGCACGGTGGCTCACGCCTGTAGTCCCAGCACTTCGGGAGGCCGAGGTGGAAGCATCACTGGAGGCCAGGAGTCAGAGAACAACCTGGGCAACATAGTAAAACCTTGTCTCTACAAAAAAAAGAAAATCAGAAAATTAGCCAGGTGAGACTAGATGCGGTGGTTCATACCTGTAATCCTAGCTCTTTGGGAGGCAGAGGCTAGAGCATTGCCTGAGCCCAGGGGTTCAAGACCAGCCTGGGCAACTTGGTGGGAATTCATCTCTACAATTTAAAAAAAAATTAGCTGGGTGTGGTGGAGTGCATCCATGTGGTTCCAACTACTTGGAAGGGTGAGGTGGAAGGATCACCTGAGCCCAGTAAGTCAAAACTGTGGTGGCCATGAGTGTGCCACTGTACTCCAGCCTCGGTGACAAAGTGAGACTCCAACTAAAAAAAAAAAAAAAAAAAAAAAAAAAGTTACCCAGACATGGTAGTGTAGGCTTGTAGTCCCAGCTACTAAGGAGACCAAGTCAGAAGGATAGAAGGATCGCTCGTGCCTAGGAGGTCAAAGCTATAGTGAGCTGGGATGGTGCCACTGCACTCTAGCCCGGGCAACAGAGAGAGACTCCCAACTTAAAAATGAAATCTAACTATTTCTTTTGTTTGTTTGTTTGATTATTTTTTTTCCTTCTTTTTATTTTAAAGATGTGGGGTACAATTCAGGGTTAGGTATACAAATGTTCATTATGCAGGTACCTGAAATCTAACTATTCCTAACAAGATAACCCTACACATATTTGGAATATTGGATCCTTGGTCTTTACATGGCCTCCCTTTAAACTTCCTCAGTTTTTCTTCAGTGGGCTCTAACTTCCACTTTGATTTAAGGAGATTAAATAGTTAGTTGGTATTTATGCCCCTTATACAAATATATACTGATATAGATGAAATCAATTGTCAAACAAAAATCAAAAATAATTTCTGTATTACTATAGTGATTCTGCCCATTAGACATAAGAATGGCATTACAAAACAACTGCTAACTTATGATACAGACCAGGTATAAAACATCAACACTATTGACATTTTGGGATGGGTAATTTTTTTGTTCTGAGGGCTATCCCATTGCATATCCCTAGTCTCTATCTACTAGATGCCAGTAGCACACTGGCTTGTGACAGAGTGCTATACTTTGGGTTGCCTGACTTGTGGCAACCAAAAATGTTAGTAACTGTGCTGTGGAGGGTTGAGGGGGGAATTAGCCTTAGTTGATAGCTACTCGTACAATGTTCACTTATCAGATAACAGCAACACTAAATGTATAAATCCATGGATACCAAAGGCCCTAATTAGTAAATCTCCCCTACAAAACTCCTAGCCCTGGCAACCCCTTCGGGTCCTCTCCCACTGTGAGCTTTTCTGTCCTCTCAATAAATCCTTTCCAAAAAAAAAAAACCTCCTAGCCCACAGCTAGACAAGTATTACAGAAAGAAGTAATAAAAAGCAAAGCTAATAATACACAAGCTAAAATCTTTCCTTGGGAGGCCAAGGCAGGAGAATCACTTGAGCCCAGGAGTTTGAGACCAGCCTGGGCCACACAGCAAGACCTCATCTCTATAAAAACTTAAAAAATTAGCTGGGCATGGTGGAGTGCACCTGTAGTCCTAACTACTTGGGAGGCCAAGGTGGAAGGATCGCCTGAGCCTAGGAGGTTGAGGCTGTAGTGAGCCATGATCATGCCATTGCAATCAAGTCTAAGCGACAGAATGAGATCCCACCTCAAAAAAACAAAACAAATAAAAAGCAGAATCTTTCCTTGGGAAAAACTGTACAGCACAGTGATCCAGAGCACAGGCTCAGAGCCAGAGGACTTGTATTCAGGATTCACTAGTCATATTGCTCACTGGCTGCATGGCCAGGGCAAGTGACTTAACACAAGTATTTCAACTTGACCACTTTTAAATCGGCAAGAAGACAACTAACGCCTAGAGTTACTGTAAGGATTAAGTGAATATGTGTAAAGCACTTCAAAGAATGCATGGGACATAACAAGTGCTCAGTAAGTGTTAGCGATTACTACCCCCCTAGATGTCGAAATTTTCAATTTTTATATAAAGTTGAAATCACTTTACTGATCTCAATAAACAATATAGTCTAGAAAATAAAATATCGTTCAATATAACCACTTTACCTATTTGACAAAAATAATTTTCACCTATTTTCTCTATCTCAATAAACTGGCAATGATAATGCAAGAATGGCCATTGGAGAAAGAACTACATTTGTGTGTCACTGATAAAGATAGCTAAATCCTAAAGCTGGCTAAGAAGGAAGACCACAAAGACTACAGTCAACATTAGTCACCAAACATATGAGCTGGGAGATCCCAATACATCAATATATAAGTCGAGACTATGGGCAGAACTATGAATTTCAGGAGCGTTGGTTAATGACTTAACTAAAGGCTATGAATTTCAGGAGCTTTGGTTAATGACTTAACTAAAGGCTCACTACCTCACAAGTGGATATCTAACATCATTACCTTTGTTAATCAGGCTCTCATTAACAGTTTCTTAGATCTACCTAACCCTCACTTTGCTGTAGTGTGGCTCTCAATACAAGGCGGGTCTCTGTACAACTGTCCTCTCTGGTTTTTCAGAAAAAAAGCATGTCCTTGCAACATGCACTCCTGAAGAAGCTGAAGTGCTTTCTCAAACATAAAGTCAAAACCGACAAAGTCAAAGTGAGAAGAGGTCTCAGGCCATGCTAAAATGGACTACAGGGAACACGCAGTAAGAGACCTAGAATTGCTTCTGTGTGAAGCCAGTTCCCAGATTAACGTCATTGTGCAGCTGACACCCTCGTCTAGGACACTCAGTTGCATCCATGTCACTAGTATGGGATCCTACTGCCTGGACATGACAGCAGGATCCAAGGGCACACACTGACGAAGCTGGGTCTCTTAGACTCTCTCCACTGGGACAACGAGGTC